TAAAAAAAAGTATCTGCAGATGCTACAGAAAGGAGAGCTTGGATGCTCTGCAGTGTATCTGGTGCTCAGTGCTCATGTTGTGAGGCTGCTAGCTGGGGCAACAGATGCACCTGCTCTGCATGGCTAAGACAGGTGAAGCTGTGACCGAATATGGTTATTATTCCATCTTTGACTCCTCCTACCGTGTCTTTCCTCTCTTTTAAGTTTAACATGCTAGTGTTTAGTTACAAACTCAAGAAAGGAGTTCAGTGCAAAGCCCAGCCAGCTGAACAAGTAGACAGTTTTGCACCCATTCATTTTTAACAAGTGCTAGCAAGGCTGCACTCACCTAATCACAGATACAGTGTATGGATACAGTTACTCCTTTTAATATGGTCTGAACTGGAGGTGGTCTACTGTAATACACGGTCCTGATACAGTGTTAGTTGTCTCCCAGGTCAAAGGAAAGGCAAACCTTAGTTTGAGGTAACACAAAAGTAATCTTCAAAAACAGATTTTGCTGGTGTTTTTTTTTTTGTGGGCTGTGTGTATTAATAAAGTGGTCAACACCAATACTAAAATTAGTTATCCAAACTAATAACCAGTACAAAACCTTTGCAGTAAAGCTAAGAGGCTTTGGGGTACCGTCAAGTTCTTCTGACTCTGACCTTTCAAGTGTGGTAAGTTTAAAAGCCCACAGACTATTATTAAAGGATCTGTTATGAGATATTTTTTGTCTGTCACGGGGGTCCATTTCATTACTAGCTGCAGAATTGCAGCCAAGGGGCGCCATGCCAATATCTACCAAGAGTCTCTCAGGATCGAAAGGTGTGTTTGACTATGTCTGCCATTTCTACTTTTGAAAATATTCATAGACACAAATGATAGACATAGCGGCCTCAGAGACAGAGAAAAAAAGTATTTTAGCCAATGGTACAGTGTAATAATAAGCACCGGAGGGAACAGTGTTAAAGGTGCAGGTGTTGGAAACAGGTAATAATGATGCTCGTCTTTGTGTGGTAGCTATGTCTCACCTGCTTTCAGCAGGCATTTTATGCCTGTTTTTGGGTTGAACTCAGGCACATTGCTACAGGATGGCATTATTGTGCTTCTATGGTTCTCCCCACTGCATCCTTTGTTCAGCACAGGCACTGTCTGTGCTGTCAGGCTGATTGACTACTAAAAAGTAATGATAAAGCACAATAAAGCCAGTCCTGTGCCAGTCAAAATGTCCACAGATACCAATGTTTGCTCTCATATCCATCTTTTCTTTCTTCCCACTCCGCTCCTTTTGTTGATGTCACCCAGTTCGCACCACAACATTGCCCATATCCCCCTTGTTTCTTTATTCCTCCCTCCATCGTCCGCACTGATGAGAGCCTGCATTTTTCCCTACCCTTCCTGTCTTTTGTCCCTCCCTCGCTCCCACCATTCCCACTCCCAGGCTCCCAGCCTGCCTGCAATTGTCTCCCCTCCCCCTCCCTCGGAGCTCCATTGTGAGTGCTTGGTTCAGCAGCCTCAGCCTCTCCTGCAGTATGCAGCGAATGCCTCGTCTTTTCCTTGTGCAGCCTGAGCTAAACGCAGCACAGCCTCCCCCTTTTGGGCTCGGGGAAAACAGAGAAGTAACTGCAGGGCCCAGGCAGGAGAACAAGACTTGGACTGACCCATCTAAGGGGTGTCAGAATCCGAACGCTCGCTGACACCCATCGATTTGTTTCTTCACAGCTGAAAATCTGCTCACCTCCTCTGTCTCTGCTCTCGTACGTAGTCTTGCTCGCATCCTCTGATTTGCTTTAGGTAAACAGCAGGCACGCTGGCCGAAAAACCACGCTGACGCTGCAGTTTTCTGATAGGCTGCATAGTAACGACATGTACACCTTTGGCAAGTGCTGAGTGCGGTCATCTGATTTACAGCTTTTCTTGCAAGACCTGACACACATTCAGTAGAAGGAGAAGAAGAGCCACAGCTGGACCACACCGCACATCCTGCAAAAATGGCATCCTGAACACTTTTAACTTTTATTTTGCCATAATGACAGAGACGTTTTCAGCACTGTCATGTGAACTGTGAACATTTCTATTGCTCTGTTTCAACTGTGGCATACTTTCTGAACTTTTATACTTGTAAACGCCTCAGTTTGAGCAAAACAACAAAAATCCACCTCCCTGTGTTGATGAATTTATGTAAAACCTCCACCCTCAGGTCCAACAAAGGTTTCCACGGTGACCTTTGTTGTCTCCTAATTATCTTCATATGCAGTGTGAGAAGATTGAGATCAAATCTAAAACAGCTCAAAGTCTTGCACGCAGCTATCTGTAAAGGCAAATAAAAGCTGCATATTTGTCAGATCAAATCCAATTACATAACTGCATTTCCCATGCTGCAGGCATATTGTCACTGTTTGTCTGTAGTTGTAAGCAATACTGCAACTCAGGGGGGGAATAAACTGGCGCACAGCGAGAATTTCATTTTTTAAAACTAAAATAAATAAGAGTATGCTATGAAAGATGTCCATGGAGCACATTTGTCAGCTTTCTAAGCAGTTATATCTAGTACATTACTAATAGTTATGTGATTTTAAGTGTGACCACTTACCAAGCACTTCTTAATCTACTTCAGGCTGGCTAAATAAATCTTCTCTCCCTTACTTGCTTACATTTTTTCACAGCCAGCGTTTTCCATATTTTTTTCCTTTCTTGTTTAATTATCCATCGTGAGACAACTGTTGAATTTAATTCATCCAAGTTAATAACTGAGCTGTCATTGTAATATGGATTATTAGCACCAATCCACAGCTAGGAACAATGCTCAGCTGGGGTCACTGGGTGATGGCAGACTAAATCAGCGTTCCTTAGTAACCCATCCTCATCTAATGATAAGTTTGACCTTCCATAAAAGAGAGCAATGACAGACAGGCCCTCAGATGACTGATGTGGATATTTAAGTAACTGATTATCAGGAGGAAGATGGGGTTGTTTTTTTTCAGCTTCAGACTAGCTACCTTGAACTGGACAGTAATTTCAATGATTATTTTTTGTTGTTTATTCATTCCTCTCCTCCCTGTGGTTTCATTTGTAATGACTTTGCTGTTATATAGCATTGCTAGCTGAATATATTTAAGACTAAGAGTGCTATTTGGGTAAAACGGGACATTTGAAGACATTACCACAGACTGTGTGAAACTGACTGGAGTGACCAACCAAATAATAGCTAGAAGATAACATTCCCTACTTTGCTGATTAATAAAGCCTGAAATCCCTCCATTATCTCAACTTAATGCATTGCCTTATTTTATTACATAACAAAGGATTATTGCACTGATGCTCCAGACTCAGCAAAACAAAAACAGAATGGTGGAAAAAAATGAGTGCAGTGGTGCAGCATAATATTAGTCTACTGGTGACCATTTCTATTGATGATGCTCCGTTATATAAACAAGCTGCTTCACTGCCAGTCAATATCACATCAAATCAAACAGACTGTTGTTGTTGTTTTTTTTAAATATAAATGTATATAATGCTAGAGCTACTTTTGAAATTCACCTGAGGTGTTTTGGGGGGAAAAAGTTCCTTTTTGGCAGCTAAAGATGACAAGGAGGAGAAAGGGTAGAAACTTTAGCCTATTTATCCAATAAAAAAGAGATAAAAAAGCAACTCTTCAGCTGCTGCAGAGACACCCATAAAAAAAGCTTTGTTTAACTGTTAAGCCTGTTCCCTGCAGCACTTTCACAAACATGGAAGCCTGCTCCTGAATAATTCAGCACCCAAGGTCACGGCACAAAATAAAGAAAAAAGAAAACTCTATTTTCCTCCTGTCATGAACATGAAGAGTTTGTTGTGATCCCTTCAAACATCTATTGACTCAACTGCACAGCATAAAGCCAGGAATTAGTCCATGACTATGGGCCTGCACAAAAACAAGAAATAGTAATAGAACAGAGAGCCCTGCTCACGCCTGCATACCTGAGCAATAAGTGCAGTGGGTCAGGTGGGTTTACCATGCCTTCCCAATGATCGAGCACTCAGGACAAAGCTGATTTAGAGAAATTACCTTCCTCTGCAGCTTCATCTCATTTAATCCACTACACAGCATGCAGCCCACATTAGGGCTGAACAGCACCTCTCTCTCTCTCTCTCTCTCTCTCTCTACAGGATTAGGATTATTTGAAGTTCAGCTTTCATGACAAACAGCCCAGAAATTACTTCAACTGTTTCTCTTCATATACACTATAAACAATCACAGCAGCAAAACCGTGACTCTTAGAAACACCCATATGGGCCAATAAATCACCACTATAGCACAGGCTGTTTGCACGAGGACACAGTTTTGCAGCATTTATGAAAGATATGAGGCAACCCCCCCCCCCCCCCCATCATCTCTGTGAAGTACTGATGGTCTGCATAATGCACAAGGTGCGCAGTTGACTTGTGAGGGGAGGGGGAGGAGGAGGGACAAGCCCTGCATGTAGGCCTCCAATATGTATCCTGTGTAAGGCTATGAAGAGATATGAAGAGCATCACTCAGCCAACATCCAGTTTCAGCCGCCAATCAAACATACATAAAGCGCTCTAACACCGACTAATCAGACTGTATGGATGTATGGAAAGGGAGGTAGCCTGGATACCCCCCCCCCCACACACACACACACACACACACACACGCACCCCTTCTCTCTCTCTCTCACCCGATTTGGATGATGTTATTACCGATGATGTGCGTTCAAGGCAATGCAAGATGCGAGATATTTTGTCAGGCCAGGGCTCGCGTCGTTATGAAATCCCTCACAGCGCTGCTAGTGAGTTATAGAACAACACACGCGGCTGTGAATGACTCAAGATGGGGTTGATTATTTATTTATTTATTTATCAATCGCTGTCCCTTTCCCCCCCTCACTGAGGCATCACTAGTGTACTTCATTAACCTTCCCTTTCGATCAATATTCATCACTCCACCCTCCGGCCAGGCACGAGATCCAAGCATCGCGTCCACACTGAAATAAAACAAATCCGTCCGGCCTTACCATTCCGTGCCAGTTGATGACGATCCCAGTCCGGTGCCTGTCCTTTTCAAAACATCCCGACGGGAAACACTGCGGAGACCATTGCTGAAGGCTTCATGAAAAAAATCATTGATGTGACGAAGGAGTGAGAGGGAAAAAGGGGTCCGAAAAAGAAGACGAGAGAGAAAGGGGAAAAAGAAGCAGAGGTGGACCGAACCGAGGTTTGCTGATGCTGAATCACTCTCCCTCAGCTCACCACCTTGCAACCATTGTGCTGCAAGATGCTGGCTGTACCATTGTGGACCTCACCAGAGCAGAGAGAGAGAGAGGAGAGGGAGGGAAGAGGAGGGGCGATGGGGGGCGATGTTGCCATGGCAATCGAACAGGAGCACGTCTGACGTCAAAGCCAGGACAGAGAGGGGAGAGGGAGAGATCACATGGAAGCTGTCCCCCCGGATGGGAGGGGCGTGTTAGAGCATCTTCTCATCCCATCCTGTACCGTCCCGCTGGTGCGGTCACGCAGATCGTTGAGGATATGAGGCTCTGTTATTTCTCAGGTTTCCAGGGGCGTGTCTATGCAAATAATGTTTTTGCATTTATTGTTGTTGTTGTTTTGGGTTTTTTATTTGTTTTTTTGTTCTCGACTTTATTTACGTCTTACTTTGAAGATAAAAAATTATTTTGCAGATATTGTGTTGGTCTCATAGATAACCCAGCAGAAGAGACATAATTACAATCACGTACACATTACACTCTTCTACTTCTTCCTTCAGCTGTTCCCTTTCATTATGTTTGGTCGTCTGCATCCATCTCACATCAGCATCCTCCTTGGCCACATCAGCCCTTTGCATCTTTCCCTTCGCATGATTCTCCTCTGAGGCCTTTGTCTTCTCATTTTGCCTGGCAGCTCCATATTCAGCATCTTCTGTAAACCTATCGCTCCTCTTCTGCACATATCCAAACCATCTCAGCCTTGTCTTGCTAACTTTGTCTCCAGATTGCTTAATGTGAGGTGTCTCTCTGAGATACTCATTTTTAATTTTTCCAATCTTGTCTGTTTTCACTCCTTATAAAAACCTTAGCATCTTCAAATCTGCTGCCTCCAGCTTTTTGCTAGTGCCAACCTCTTCAAACCATACTTCATAACAGGTCTCCCTGCCGTCTTGTAAATTATCCCTTTCACTCTTGCTGCTACCCTTCTATCATCCTTGACACTTCACCTTCACCTCCTCCACCCTGTCCGCACTCTCTTTGTCACCTCTCTTGTGCACTGTGTTCATCACCTACTACTTTGTCTTTCGTCTTCACTGTTACACTATTCCTCTTCTCCCCAGTGCATACCTCCACCTCTCCAGACTCTCATCCACCTGCTCCCTACTCTCACTACAGGTCATAGTCCATGGAGACTCCTGTCTGACCTCATCTGTTAGTTTGTCCATCAGCACTGCAAACAAGAAAGCGCTCAGCGCCAATCCCTGATATAATATCACCCCCACCTTGAACCCATTGTCACTCCTTGCCCTCACCACTATCCTACGGTCCTTACACATGTCCTGCGTCACCCTCACAAACTTCTTCACACTTCTGACTTCCTCATACTGTACAACAGTTCTTCTCTTGGCACCTATCCTATCCTTTCTCTAGATCCACAAAAATATGGTGGTGTCCTTCTCTATACTTCTCCATCAGTATTTGAAATAAACATCGTAGCACCCTTTCTTGGCAATCGGTGGCTGCTGCCAGCCCTGACTACTCCACTCATCTGACCACTTCAAACAAACTACAGCCAGTTCTAAGAGTATATGCAAGGTACTACAGATACTACCAGTACAGTGTTATTTTTTTTAAAGGGATAGTTTTACACACCCAAACACATTAAACAAAGCAGCCATTTAAACTGTTTTGAGCGCTTTGTCAGCAGGTTTCCACACAGAGACTTCTGCATGGAAACCTGCATATGTAAATCAAACGGGAGAGGGACCAAAACATTGAATATTTAGCCTAAGTGAGATTTACCAGCTAAGAAGTTAAAAAAAAAAGAAGATAAGGAGATAATCACATCAATGTAATAGTCTCAGCCAGACCAACCTTGGAAAAATAGTCTGCCTCTGCCACTGGTTTGCTTTCTTAAACACTTATCTTGCATTGCTCATTTTGATAGTAGCTGATAGAATGTCTTTTCTTGTAAAAACCAACCAAGCAATCAAAAAGAAAAACAAAAAATCTCTTTCTGTCATAATTTGTCACAAATCCCCCCTGAACCAAGCTGATAAATGCACCAGCTTCACGGAAACTCAGAGGCAGTGGTTGCTGTTTTGTTTTGTTCCCAGGCTTGTGAAACCACTGAATTAACTTACTGTAATCACAAACTAGAAAAATATCAGCATAATCTGCTCTGATGCCTCTTAGTGAATTTCAGTGAGTGAGAATTCATCACTGTCAAGTACCGAGGCCAGGTTCCATAAGTTAAAAGGGATTTGACACAATATTGGGGACAATAGGGGGATTTACATGCAGAGCTTCAAAACACCAGTCTGTATACACTGACTTCTGAAGTGTCTGAGACAATTTATTGCCAAGGTTTTATTTTAACTTGACACAGATAGAGGCCCCAATTTCAAAGTAAGTGCAAAGGAGGGTCAGATTTTTTAATGCTTTCCAGCTGGAACCAAAGGCTAAACTTACTGGAAAACCACCACCCTAACAAACACACACACACACACACACACACAGACACACACACACACACACACACACACACACACACACACACACACACACAGCCAACAGTTCCAGGTGCCCCACATTCAAGATTGTCATGACAGGCATATCCAGTCTTTCAGGGTTTTACTGCAAATTGCCTCGAGGGCTCAGGCCAGTACCAATAAGGAGGTATTAAGGACAGTACAGATAGAAATAGCAGGAAGAGGAGATCTAAAATTCAGAACTCCTTACTAAGGCTTAGCAAGGACTTGCTAAGACTCTGTCCCCAGATGAGGCCTCTCTGCTCCAGGTAATGTAGAGTGATTAAAGGCTAGTCAGTCAAAGGAGACAACAGGTACACAACAGGACATTCCAACAGCTGTAACGGTTTATCATAACAATGTAACAAAAGTGGAAAATATTACATGTTTTAGAAGGAAAGCTATAACTAACTAGCTAACAAATGATTGAGTATGATTCTGAGCATCCTCAGAAATGCTTTGAATTGAAAATAAAGAGGCAATCTTATCTTCTGTCACATATTCTTTGATGGGCCTATCAGATTATTGAGGGCGTCATAATAGTTAGCCATAATGGTTAGGCATATCATGTATTAATGATTCTTGTACTGGTTTCGTTGTTCTTGTTCTCCTTTATTTATTTATTTTTTCACAACATATTTGTCTCTGTTACTGAGTTGTTGTGCTTGGTGATCTAGTGCTGATGTTGTAAGATCCCCACCAACAGACTGTTATACCTATAAATTCTGAGCATTTATAGGTATAAAAGTATGACAATTCCTACAGATAAGACTAAAAATATAAGGCATGGCAAAAATATTTGTCTTATTGCATTCAGAAATAGACTAAATATGCACCTACAGAGACATGCCCATGCAAAAAATGAAATGGTTTATATGCAATGGCATCATCTGCTGAAATGATAATACTGGTTTCAATCTACGTGGAAAATCAGTGTCAAGTAATCAAGCCTTATCACTGCAGGCAATGGCTAGTGATAATAATCATGTCTTTTAGCACTAACAGGCACAGGCAGGCAGAGATAACCCTTGGCCACAATCTGGCTACTAAGGGTTGTAATGAGGAATAAATGTCACAAGATGGCGCAAAGTAAACCACAAAAATAGCTCATCAAGACAAGAGCACCTATAGGAAGGAAGTACTCAGCAGTGAATTGCTTCCTGACTGCTTAGTTGACTCATTTTGATGTTATGGGATATACAGAAATCATGGTTAATTTTGGAATTATTTTAAACAGGAAACAGGTCGGGTCCGTCATAATTTCCCATGGTTTAAGAACTCTTTAAAAACAGCCTTTCAGTTATATTGAAATACACAGATTCACACACATACCATACATAACCCTATGGAAGTGGTGTATTTCAGAGAAATTTATCTTAAAGTAATAAAAAAAAAAACTTCGTTCTTATACAACTATTAAATGTATCTCAGTGGACAATATTTAATTTTATAAGAGCACTTTTTTAAGAAACGTCGGCGATCTGGATACATACTCTGCTTCCATGACTTGGTACTGTGTTACTATAGGAACGGCTAAATGACAGTCCCCTCGCGGAGAGCCAATAGACAGCCACAGTAAGGTGTCTGGTTACTTCCAGTCAGCCCACGCGCAAAGGGAGGGGCTGTTCCACTCCTCAGCGGTAATGGTAACTTGGCTTCTCTGGTGGTGAGAGCAGTACTGTTTAGTGGCCAACAAGCGCAGCTTCTGAGGAGTTTCAGAAGAACAGTTTTACTTTTTTTTTTCTTTTTTCATTCGCTGTGGCCAGCTTCAGTGGAAGTGGATTTTTATAGGTGACTGCTCCGCGGAAAGGTAAACCTGTTGCCTCTCCGCCTGCCTGCCTGCCTCGCCGACAGTTACGATCCAAGATGTTGCTTTGTGGATGGGATGGCGTCTGGTGCCGTTTGTATGCCCACTCATAACCTCGTCCGAGCACCAACATTTCCCTCACAGCTGATTTTGTAGCTCGTCTCGGCCGGTAAGCTTTTTTATGAACCGCTCAGAAAGTGATGTAAACAAACTTTATAGTGTCCTAGCTAACTTTAGCCAAACCGGGATAACCGAGGGATTGAGTAACTCGTGAGGAGCCTCAAATACCGGAGGTTTTATGTCTTTTCCACCTTTTTTTTTAAACTAATAACAAAACTAACATCGTCAGAACTAATAGCAGGCTGCACTGTTGATATTTAACTAATACGTCTCGACCTTAAAAGTTATGCGTCATGTCTTGTTAACTTAGTCCAGAACCCATGACAAATGGGGCATCTCTAAGCTAATCACATCGTATTGTAATCTTGCGAGGGTGGAAACACCACCTCAAGAATAGCACAAGACTGGCAGACTGACTCATTTCAAGTGATTCTACCTGGAAATTTTTGGATAATTATGAGAAATCCGAATAACATTTTAGCATATACGCTCCTTCCAAACCCTAACAAAAGGTGAAGCGGTATAGTGTTATCGGGAAAGGCAGCTTGGCCCCCCTCCCCCTTAACTTCACTGCTTTTCTGTGGTAATTAACCTAAGGTCAGAGGTCAATTTGCAGACAATATAACGATCAGGTTAGGCTGTGTGCCTGACCAGGTTTAAAGTGGCTGTAATGGGGCACCGTCAAGAAAAAGAGGAAAAAATAGGAATATAGACAGTGGGTTGGGTTTGTGTGTGTGTGCTGGGAAGAGGTGGGGGGGAGCTGGAGTGAGGTTTTTTTGCAAAACCAAGCTCTGCATGTCACTGTACTCACAGCAACCCTGTGATTAACAGAAATGGAACGGATGAGGTAGAGACCAAAATGAGAAGTGAGGGCTGTTGGTCCAGAGCTGGGCTGATATTCAACAAAATAGTCTAAGCTCTCTTTTCTGGTTCCTACCCAAGCTTTGTTCAAAACAAAAACAACCAAAAAACAAGACAAACGCCAACGCTAAGAGATGATTAACGGGACGTACTTGGAAGGTACTGGTCCCATTGCTGTAATTGTAAGCATCCCTGTTTAGACATTCATAAGTAATGTGGAAAAGCATGTCTACTGATTGTACGTCAGTCAAAAATAATGAAAACTCACCACTGGGTTTTCCCATTTTATTTAGTTGAGTCACTCCTGCTCTGCTCAGTTTCTTTCATAAGCAAGCATGAGCGGGACACAGCTGTGAATACAACAGCAGATTAATTTTCGCAGTAAGGAGCACCACATCAGCTACTTTAACAGGTAGTGAAGGTTGAGGTTTTCAAACCATAATTCTGGCTTAAAGTTGCATTTTATCACCTCAGTAGTGTGCAGCCTAGTTAGCTATGTATGAATTCTCATTGCTTGTGTCATAAGGCGTGTTCGCGAAAGATATCTTGATCAAGCCTTTCTTCAAATTCAAAACACACACACGGGTGTGTGTTTTCAATTTGAATCATGTGCTTGCAGGCTGCACTGTACAGTAAGATTCGGGGAATAGAGGTTCACTCAGAGTTTGGTACTGAATTTTCCTGGCACACAAAACCTTCAGGACGATTTTCACCTCAGTCCTGGCGCACGGTAACCCCTCTCCCCTCCCCACCACCTCTTACCAGCTTCTGTTCCAGATGTGCTTGCCAGCTGAGACCACAGGTCTGATGTTTGGAGGATATGAACACATTCCTTCTCATATCTTTATTAGTTTGTGCTTTTGGACGCAAGAGTGGAATCTGGTGCTTTTATGCCACATTGCCCCCAAAGTGCGGCTAGGCTTGTTTTCAGATGATTTTGAGCAGGGTTAGATTTTTGTTTATTGCTGAGGGATGAACTTGGAAGACAGCAGGAGAAACTGGAATTATGTGTGCTTCTGTTATTTAGCTGCAGGTGATTGTTTTCAAATCCATTTTGTGGACTGGTAGCCGTGACAGAGGAAGGTGGGAGGAAAGGAAAAGTGCAGAGTAAAGAACATTATCACGTTTCCAGGATTATTTTCTTTAAAATCCTTGTGACTGTAGCCTAGGCTTTTAAACACGAAAAGCAGCAGACTAATCTTTGTTTAGTTTCCCCCTTTTTTTTCTAGCTATGGTATGGGAATTCAGAGGAATTTCTGGGAACAAACATTTCTACACTTTGGAAAACAGAGAATGGGGCGCTGAAGTGGTGAAGGCTGTCTGCTCTCGCTGATTTGGCCCGCTGCCTTCTAAGCACCCTCAATAATGAGCAGGACCATAGTCCAATGAGAGAGAGGAGCTGGCCTGCACAGTAGCCTGAGTGAGGATAAAAAACATTCCACTGTAGGTCTCTGTTAAAATAACAAGGGCCACAAAACAATCGGGCTTCACAGCACCCACTCTCCCCATTCTCATGGGTAATGAGCAAGATGGGTAGTATCCCACTTCGCCTCCAACTTCACGCCTCCTGATGGCTAGAATGGTTAACCTGCATTCCTGCATAAGAATTTTGGCCTGCTTACTCATTAACCCTCTTCTCCAGGCTAAGATTCACTGAAAGGAAACTGTTTCACGTATTATTTTCAGAAATAAAATACAGCGCTAGAACAGGCTGGTGACCCAGTTTATAGCATATGAGTTCATAGTGCCAGACATAACAACACTGGTACACGGCTTTTCTTTTGTGATGTCTTCTTAGGGGATGGTAATGGGTTCTGTAACACTTCTATCCCCAGAGAGTTGGATTTTTCATATTATCCACTTAAATGGGATTTGCTCACAATTTGGTGCGATTTTAGACCGATGGTCTTTGACATTTCTCCAGCTGACCTAGGAGATTAAGTAAAACCCTTTTTACTCTCTCTCATCCTCACACATAGTCACCCAACAACACTCCCTCAGTTGTCGTGAAAGTTTTAGTCCAAGGTCTCTCAGTTTCCTGGTGACAAAAAGGTGGGAAAATGGATTTTCAGATGCTTTCTGCTACTGATGATATTATGTAATATGATATATCAGCCAGTGACACTGGTAAATGCCATGTTTTTGCCAGTCACCAGTACTGATATTTGGATATTTCCTATCATGTTCTTGTGATTTTTTTTTTTCTTTCTTTTTTCCCAGTTGTGAAATTTGCAATTTCATTAGACCAAATGAGGCCAAAGGTGTGGTCCAAGGGAAAGAGGAAAACACAGGTGCTTGGTGCTGGCAACACTTCAGAGCAGTAATATCATGTAATGCAGTCAAATTTCAAATGAAACATTAGGTGTAGACATGGTTGCTGTTAAGCTCCTTTTTGTGTCTTTGCCACATCTGATTGGCTGCCAACTTACGAGGCAGGGACACGATCTCGGCTGGCGGTTCTGATACAGATACGTTTTGGTTGTATGCTAATACCTGGAACTGGTTGAAAGTCTACATTTGTTTTATATTGGCATTGTTTGGTTAAAAAAATAAATACTTAACAGGGCCAAGATATATAAGATAAACTTTTTGTTCACCTGTTTACGTTGTTTACCTGATTTATTTGCTTCCATTTCATTTTAGTTCATTGTGATTGGCTTAACTGTGCCTGAATTTATGATTGCCTTAAAGACCTCCTCTCACACAATCAGTGGTATGCTGAGTTGTCCTTTGAGCAACGAGTGCAAAATAAATTCAGAACAATATGGAACTGAACAGATTGCTACCAGTGCTCAGTGCTTCCACAGATACCCGAGCTACTTCTTTGAGTCCGTGTCAGACCGATATCTGATCCAAATATGAAAGATTTTAAGCTCATTGGAAAAATGTTTTAAGTACAGTTTTTCAACAGAAGATGAAAATTAATTTAATGTGACATTACACAGTCTAGTACATGTTTTAAGTGGCTGCTGTTTGGCTGATCTTTTATTACAGTTATGCTTGTTTTCCTGTTTGGATTTCATTTCTTGACTTTTTTGGTGGGACTTTTGTGTTGAGTTCTGATTAATGAAATCTTGTCTCAAAGCTGTGATCAAGCACATCTACATACATTCACTCACTTCCACTTCAATAGGTACACTTATTGGTACTGAGCTGGACACCCTTTGTCTTGAGATCCATGTTGTTTATGCCAAATTCTAACCCGAATTTCTCAGTGTTGCAATAGAGTTCAAGACTCATCAGACCAAGCCTTACTATCTGCTCAAAGCAATCTGTGCATTCGCCTCTGACATCAACAAGGCATTTTCTTCCAGAGAACTGCTGCTCACTGGATTATTTTCTGTTTCTCACACCATTCTCTGTGGGTTGTGGAGATGGTTGTGTGGGAGAATCTGTGCAGTTTCTGAAATGATAAGGTTTTATCAGGTTGTCTTTACCACACTGGCTGAACTGGCTGAGTGTATAGTTGTCCTGTTTTTAGTGTGGACTTTTTTTCAGTTTTGTGAGAAAGGACATGGGCTACTTTACACAAGGTTTTACATTTGCTGCATATTTAAATGCTAGTTTTACATTGATGCCAGAACAAGGTAACAGGCATAGTGTGAATTAAGGCTGATGCTTGATATTGGCAGGTTATTCCTTCTTGCTGTTGTGCCCTCTGTGTGAAAGCCCCCCCCCTTTTTTTGTTATCTGAATTTTACATCTTTAAATCCTCACTACAAATGCACATTATTATTATATAAATGCAACACAGTAATGCATATTTTTAACCAAGTACACCTGCCACACCTTCTGAATCTGTTGCTTTGCCCTCGATATTTGCATATCAGGAAATATGCTGTAAAGCAACAATGCTTTACAGCTTTACAGTGACATTTTTATATCCTGGAGAAATTGCACTACAAATCAACACAACAGAGCCATTTATATGTGACACACATGCGCACGAAGTTGCAAATATGGTTGTTTATGTTTGAACTAAGTGAAATGAGTTCACAGTTTCTGCTCAGGGTAAATTAGTCTGTAAAACTGGAGCTTCCTGTTTTGCTTACATTGGTATCATTCCATCACTCGATTGGGAAGATTAGCTAGAGTTGTCAGTGCAGCACAGTAGCTGGAGAGAAAAACCAAACAAAGAAAAACTACAGATAAAAGAAGATATTCCTTGTGCCATTTTCTCATTCATTGGTTTGTAGGGTAGATTTAATGTAAATCATGTATGCAGGTTTAAACAGGGGTAAATACAGTGGTTAAATACATTGTCTTGTATTGTTGTAATATTTCGTGTTTGTAAATATTTGCTTTCTTTCTGTGTCCGGTCAGCAAGGAGAACAAATCTGTGCATTTCTTACATGAATAAATGTAGGACTATAATTCTTAAATAAATTAAAGCATTATTTCACTTTGAAGCAATATGTTTGATTAATGACTCAGTAATTGGGTGGGGAAGCTAAAAGTCTAAGGTAAATATAGCTTTGACTAAAACAGAAAGTGTAATTTTCAGATGCTCTGTTTCATGGGCTGATTTGACCGTATATTATTCCTATTGTATATCATAAGTGGGAAATATGTTCCCCCTTTTTCCACATTTATTGTTAAGCTCTATTAGTATTTATTTATTTAGTCTGTGTGCTATATAGATGTGAAATTCTGGGTTAATACCAATGTTTTATAATACCAACATGGTGAATAGTCAGTGTCAGTGCAAATAATTGTTCTCTTTGTTTATTTAGCATTTCTTAGATTTTCTTTGGCATTTAAATTGTTAAAAAAAAAGTGCACTGTTTTATTTATTTATTTATTTTTTAAATTTAGAAAATTGACATAATAACGTCAGCCAGTGACATCACTAACTGTAATCTTTTTGCTGACACGCAGACATCCGCCAACACTGGGCAGATATGGATGCCGCTACAGTTTGATAGCATGTCTGCACATCCTATTATGTTCATGTTATATCTCTTGAAAGCTTTGAGGAAATATATTTAAATGTGACGCAAAACTCACTTGGACACAAGGCTGAACTGATTAGAATTTTGGTGGTCAGTGTTTAAGGTCATCTAACAAGATGGCTAACACGTGTTTTTAAGTGCCAAATGGAAAAGGATATACAGCCCTTGGCAGATTTGGGTTTATTTATTTATTTTTTAAAATTCCATAAAAGGCAATCGCAGCCATAGCTAGTAATTTAACATGTTGTGTTGTTGCTGGCTTGTGTAAAAGAAAGCTGTACATGCAAAGTTATTCACAGATGGATCCTTTAAACAGTATCATAGAATTTGGTGGAATGTCGAAGTTATCCACATATCCAATAATATTTTAGCTTTAACTACTTCTAATATATATCTCTGAACATGACGTTTTTGGTTTTTTCCCCAATGTCCTTTTTTATATATTTATTAGCATACTACAAGAGAAAGGAACATTTTGTATTATGGATTGGATTTTTCAATACAAAAAATTTAAATTATGCCTAAATTTAAAAAGCGTGAATTAAAAATTAAAATTCACTTTCATTTGCCTCTTGTAAGGCATCTTAGAAGTGCCAAAAAGTACAATTACTTCATTCAAGAAGAATCCTGCTAACAACCAGTAATGCTAACTATGCACCTTGTACCAGCCTGTATGTTGTTGTATAGTGTGTGAGATACTGTGGTGTGAAGTCTCAACAGGTGAGTAAAAGTCTAATTATTCTGTATGTTTACATAATCTATCGATTGTTTCAGTCCTTTCTCAGCTTATGATCTTGACAATATGTAGGTTAGTCTTTTTGAAATAATTGTCTAAAATCTAGCAAATGATAACAAATTTTAATCTTCAGGTAAAAGAGCTCCAATTAAAGTTTTAAGAATTATTATAGCTGGGTAAACAGTCAAAAACCCAACGGTATTTAAGTTACAACAGTTACATCTTAAATTTATTAAAAATGTATTAAAAGGTCCTCGAAGTCTGTAAATTGTTGGAACATGAAGTCGTCCTCTGGGAATGTGAAAAATGAGTTTTCTGGAAGCTGCTGACTTTCAAGAAATGCAAGTTGTCTTTTGTCTTGCATTGGCAGAAATATGGAGTAACAAAAACTTATGGCGGATGCTCTTGTAAAACAGATGACTGAAAATGCACCTTCCCCCTCTGCATACCGTGCAGAAAAACATCTTAAGGCACACACTTGTTGACACAGAGGAAAAGGAATAAAGGAATAAAACATACACACAGGGACCATAGACCGTCCAGTTGACTGTGAAAGACAGTCTAAAGTAGATTGGTGGCAAACTAAGATGCTCATTTGCAACATTTAGGATGGATATATATAAAAAAAAAAAAATTTTGGTCAACCAATCTTTCTTGTGCATGTGTGTACTTGTGTTTGAGGAAGTTGGTGGATTAAGTGATTTCCCACATGCTTCTGTAGAGTCCACTCACTGTGAGTGGGCATGCTCACTCTTGACAGGGACAGATAGAAGCACATTAACAAGAACACATGACAAAACAAACCTATAAATTCACACTTCACATGCCTAACATATGAAATATGCATAGACTTTATTTGACCTTTGTCATTTTACATGTGTGGGAACGAGCCTCAGCTTCAAATAGAGATGCTTGTTTTCACTGAGGTATGGAAATGTAGCTTGAAATCTGCTGGACTGTGAAGCGCTTTTGCTTTTGTTAGAAGTATAGAAAGTGTCCTTTTTTTCGTAACCTTTGGTTCTTGCATAACACCAGCTCTCAGAGTAGCATGAGTGAAATGTCTCACTATGGGACTTGCCTTTAAGGTAGATTATTTAGTTACTCATGTATTTAGTCACTGAGTTTTGATAACTTTGAATTTGAGAGCACCAAATCCATTTTAGGTGAATTAGATTGAA